ATATATATATTTATATTTATATATGATTTTATATAAGCATATGCACATATATAAATAATCTATATGTGTATATTGTATAGTACATGTGTGTATACATAAATACACAGTAGTATGTATATACCACACACCAAATAACGAAGGGATATCTACAGAGCAAAAATGGGTATCCATTTCATTATAACTAGTGATGGGTCTAAATTAAAATCCTAGATCCAAACACCATTGCATTTGGAGAGTTTGAACCGGTTTTTTGAGATTTGCGGTTGAGTTTCATCTCTGGTTACAGCTGCAGTTACTTGTGTATATATGCGTTCTGGGGGGCATGTGTGTGCAGGCACATGTGCTTTCTCACAAGTACATGCCTGTGTGAGTGACAGACAATGTGTGTGCCAGTAAGTGTGCACGTGTTTACATAGATACTTCCAGCTTTGGTGAACTATAATGTTACTGGTGTCATCTTCACTTGTACAGTTTTATCAGCAGCACGTGAATGCTTCCATGGGTCACTTTTCAACTCTTTAAATCACTACATTGAAGTATTACAGTTGTATAGTTATATGTTCATCTATTCTTGCTCTGCTGTATCTTTTTATGTATTTTGTACTGCATAGATTATATATTGTGATAATGTCCTATGCAACAACAATAAAGAAGGAAAAAAATGGAAAAAGGAAGAAAATTAACAACCGTAAAATATCGTCTTAACTTGTATGCATGGTTAGTGACGTTTACATTTTCCAAAATAAAACTTATAACTATGAAATACTGTTTTTCTCTTAATTTCCTTTTCTATGTATCAATTAAAAAGCATCAATTGTTAGTATTTCTGCTGTTTGTTTGAGGCTTGGTATCTTGTTTGATATCTTCGTTTAAATTTTACCCAGTGCTATTATTGAAAATGTGATTTATTTTTTTTTAATCATTGAGAGAAAGTTTCTGTGATGTTTGTTTTGTACTCTCCTCTGCTTTAACTGGTATTTTATAGTTGCATATTGAAATTCCTTTCTCAAAGCTGGTATATACGGTGTTTTTCTTAACAAGGTGGTTATGGGATTAATATGCCTGACTCAAAGGTCAGAGAGTTAACCATCCTTTCTTTCAAAGTTCAGTTCTTTGCACATTTCTGATATCATCTCCACAGTGGCAATGTCTTATCAAAACAGTAGTAATTTAATCTCATGGCACCTTGAAATGTTCCTTCCTAATTTTAAAGATGAGGAACTTGAAACAAAAGAGATTTGAGCGACTTTCTTAAACACATGAGGTGATGGCAGATGTATGCCTTTATCCTCCTTTGAAAGTGACATCACACACCCAGGAAAACAATTTTGTGCCCTATAATGAATATCTGTCTATAGAACTTTATAACTGATTGCAAAAACAATTTAAAATAGTGGACTACTCTTGAAAGGTGAAAGCTAAAATATCCTTACTAAGCTAGGGGCAATTGTGGGAATTACTGAAAAATTAGCACATGTTCTTGTGCAGGGGTCATGAAAACTGTTCAGAGCAAATAACTTGGAGAGCCATTATCTTTAATAGCAGGTTTCCCCATGTATTCATTACAGCGCTGAACTGTCAGTGCTATTCGTTATCTCTGACCATGCGCCAGTTAGCTTGTGCATCTGTACGTGTCTGCAACCAACTGCTATTTCATAACTTACACAGAGGAACTAGCTGAATCACATAAATGCTTGGCTATGTTAATGCAGTATTTAAGGGTTCAATATCTGAGAATAACATATTCATTGGGCGTGTGGTGGATAGCCCTGACTTTATTAGTGAACCCTCACTGGAACAGAAGACAAAATGCTTCTGTCCAGCAGAAAACCACATTCATTCTCTTCTACTAACATTAGCACCATGTGGCCTCTCACTGCTCCTTCTCAATGACTGTGTTAGAACTGGGAAATCCCGGGCAGAGGACTTTCTGAGGCATTCAGGTTGTGAAAATCCTCAGGCAAAAACCCTGGTAAACCATCTAATACCCGAGTGAGTTGAAGTTCCCTTGCAGACTTTGCGTATCGGTCTGTCTGTTGAACTTCCATTTCAGATCTGCTGAAGTGACTAACATGACCCTGCTCCTGGCAGCCTTAACGCTTCCACAGATGTCCTCTCACCCCATTCACAATGCTTAGTTCGATTTTCACCCGTGAACAGGCAGGCTAGGCAGCTGCTTCAGAAGTCCAGTTGCTTTTTGCTAGTCTGTTCCTATGGAAGGGGTGTGGCACGTCTAACCTCGGCTGCTACTCAGGTTTTCAGCAACTCACTCTATCCAAATTCACTGTTTTTACTAGGGGGAAAGATAGTGAGGGGTCTTTTTTCACTCTTGCTGGAGAAAGTTGATACAGAATCTTGCTCCTCTTTTCTGTGAAGGAACAAGTCTGAAGTTTCTTGAAAATACAGGTTACACAACACTTCTAGGCACTGTTTGTGAAAATAGGCCCTGAACGGTAGCATTTCTGAAGTCTTCCTACATGAAGGTTCCGCTTCATATTTGATAACAGAAGAGCAGTCAAAGATTGTTTTCGAAACTTTCTAGAAGAATGAAAAGAGAAACAAATCCTTCTAAAAGGGCATGCCTTTTCAGTTTAAGTATGGAGTTGCTGCCTTACTACTGTGATGTTACGTGCCTCCCCACCCAGACACCCACACTCTGAAACATGTGTGTTAACACATTCTCATCTGCAAAAGAAACTACATCTCTTGGGTTGCTAAACATATGGGTTTCTGCCTTGCCTGTGGCTCAGCATTTGTCTTGAAATGTTTGTAGACTTGGCAGTAGTCCATCAGTTCAGGAGAGAAGTGATAATACTGCTAGAATTTGGACAGGCTTTTACCTTTACATTTACCTGTGTATCATTTCTGGCTTCCAAGTAGAACAACTCCACCTTTCCAGGAATCACACCCATGGCATGATTTACTAGTTGACTGCAAGAGATTAAAGTGACATAAATATAAGTACACCATGCATAAAACAGAGAAAAGCAAGAGAAGTTGGGAGATTGAAATAAAACATTGGTGAGGACAATCAAACAAGCCAAGTCTTTCTATCAGCTGACCAGAAAGGCTCATACGGCACCAGAATACACGCGGGGCTTCCCAAACAATTTCAGAGCAAGCAAGCTAGGCAGCACCTCCAAATACCAGAGACCGCATCACCTTTTCTAAGAGCAGCAGAGGAGGGAGCTAAGTCAAACAGTAATTCAAGCAGGCAAGCACACATGTCTAGCTACCTACAATGCATTGCTGGAACAGCTAGGCATATAAAGAGAGAGGGAAGGATTATTTTAATAGACTTCTCGATTCATGCATCAGACAGGGGAGGAGGATCTGGATGCCCAGACATTGGAGCAGCAAGAGGGGAAG